GTTGACTTCCGTTCTGTTACTATGTCCAGAGTGGTAATCCTGCCGTCCTATAGGTAGAGTAACTACCTATAGGACGGCAGGCACAACGGATTAGTTGATAGGCACAACGGATTAGTAATAGTTGAAACCTTTGTATTGAGAGTAGTGCTATTCTCATGTGTAGGGTAAATTTATTATTCCGTAAAGTTCAATAATTTCCGCTAGCATGTAATACTGTATTTTAAGCGTTTTGATAACTTTCCATTTGGGAGAAGATGTACGCTTCGTTGTGAATTTGAAGTTAGTAATTCGATGTTTGATATCAAGTACATGAGTCATCCAAAAATGTCTGTTGTCCAGTGTAAGCCCAAGGTTCAGAACTCTGCTGCGCTCTGCGGTTTGTGTATTCTGCTCTGTTATCTTATCCTTTGCTGATTGCTGAAAGTTTATGATCCTTTGCTGATTGGACAACCTTATCCAAGCAATGGTATGCTTCTTTTCTGGGTTACTTTTGCCCATCCCTAGGAACATTCTTGTCTACCTAAAGTCATTGAATTGCATTTAATCCTTAAAACAACTTTCGAACAATTATAATTAAAATTCGTAAAACAGGCTGGGTCTGCTAACTGAGAATGGCAATTTCAAGTGCTAATACGGTGCAGAAAATTTTAAAGCTTAGTTAAAGTCTTTCTTATAGATCGACCTCGAAATTTATTTTTTCTTAAATCTTGAATTAAAACTTTCGTGTTCTGTGCGAAATAGTTAAAGTAAGAGTAATTATGCACTGATAATTTGTGACAAAAATGTGAAAATTAACTTCTTCTTCAGAGTTACCACAGTTTAAAATATTTTTAACATTACCACAGTTTAAAATATTTTTAAATATTTGCTGTATATAGAGTAGTAAGTTTGAAACAGATAACGTTTCCTGCTTACTAAGCTCATGAAGTAATTGATAGTGAAGTAACTAAAACAGTTGAGCCACATACATATCTGACAAATTTCATGAACTTTCAAGGACATATCATTTGTATTGTTTCATCGAAGTACTTCAGTGAATGCAAAATCGCGTTACGCAAAATATCATAATTATATTGTCTGTGGAAGGATAAACTATGAAAATTGAAAACAAAAGAGCTTGATTTGCTTTTGTATCAGATGATGCGTAACTTTTGCGTCACTGAAGATAAGGAATAATATTTTTAATTGCGGCTGTGGCTTTTCGTTGCTATTATTATTTCAGTAAAATATGTTATTTCTTGCTCGAGACTATTTTGGTTGACAACTAAGAGTTATACATTTACATTCAAGGTTCAGACGCTTTATAATCGTATGCGAACTAGGAATAAAGCAAGAATCTTTCTTTCTTAACGCAGGTAGATATCCACTCAGACTAACTATAATAATCTGGTTTAGCTTGTGGCATTGTTTATATTATTCTAGTGGCTTTATTGTTAATGCATCATTGACTTTATTATTAAATATAAACCTTCTATTTTACTTAAAGTAGAATTTTAAGGTTCGTCATCCTGCGGATGCAGAAGAATTTTAGTCAAGTGCAAAGCGATACGTAAGTGTAGCTAATTGGCTTTAGTTGTTAGTACTGGAAGTAGGATAAATGAATAGAGCAAGAAAGATATCAAGAGCCCGGAAGTGAGTTCTCATTGAGTTCCGCCATGTGCATATTTATTATATTTACTAAATTATTTAAGAGACGAGTCGTATATGTGCAATATAAATCTTAGTTTGCTTGCTTATTATCAGCTGCTGGATAATCGTGTTAACTCAAAATAGTATTATTCAAAAACTTGCGAAAACGGATTTATATTATGTTTTGGTTACACTCTAGACAATGTTCTGAAACTATCGTTTCCTGAAGCCTGTTCAAGAATTTAGAGCTTATAATTAACCTTTAAATTAAAAGCACATATTCCTTAAATGTCCTCAATGATGGTGTTTTCTCTAGGCTATCCGTTATCTCGGTTTCTAAGATGAAAGGATACTTTCTCCATTTAGCCGAGGTATTTAACTGTAACCCTCATCCACTGCTTTTCATAGTCCATTGGTTGTTTTCTTTAATTAATAGTACAAAAGCATAATAGCTCATTACTAAAACAACAGAAAACTCTGGAAGAACATGAACAAAATATATAGATTTATCCTCTATCTGTGTTGTAAATTTTTAAATATGTTTAGGAGTAGGCTTTCATGTATAAACATTTTCTGGTGAAAGTAAGAATAGTTTTCAACTTTCGTCCGACTTTAAAATACTTTTCCTTGTTCTATGAAAAAATGAGTAATGTTAAATCCTTCGCTGGAATTTCCCAATGCTTGCCATAACGATTTCAAATCATTTCTCGATTTCTGAGATAATAATTGGATCTTTTATAATTATCTAAACAATTTCATGTTCTGTCAACAAGCACAACATTCTACATTCACTTGGTAATGTGATTAATTCATTTTGATAAAGAATTCAACGTGTTCTGGCTCAAGCACATAGTCTGCTCAAGAGGCGATGAAAACTAGGCTTTTTATGTTTTAAAAGATTTAATTTTTATTTATGCGGACACAAAGACATGTAAAGGATTACAAATTTTGCTTATTTGCTTATTACTCGTTTTCAGATCAGAGAATTTATACTGAAGTAATAGTAAAAGTGTTTACTTTCCAGAACTTTATTCATCTGCATTTTGATATGCTTTTGACATAATTTTGAAATGAGATTTTAACCGGGGGACTAAAATTTTTCTCTTTGAAAAGAAAAAAAGCATAGTCTCTAATCATAACCTTATTCACTTGCATCACTTTTAACTAACGCCTAGTATAGTTAAGTTAGAGCATATTAAACTACGCCAAGCCATACTTTAACATCAAAATTATGGGTTTTGCCAAGCGAATTTTAAATGCTTCCTTTTAAAATAAAAACCGTTCTAAAATTATAAAACAATCGATGTATTTTGATATGTAATCACTTGTGATTTTATGATTTTTGTCATTATTTCTGATTTGTTGCTGTAAAGGTAAAGGTAAAAGTATGGGGGACACCAGCGATGTACCATAGGTCAACTGGTAATGCCTTCCCATACTAACTCTTTGAAAAAAAAGGGGGGCGTAATTGCAAGTTTTATAAGAATTTGCATAGACTGAAGCTTTCCAAAAGGTCTAGAGTTTGCCTATTATGGTACATCATGCAATTCCACAGTACGTCCCGCATCCAGTTTATTAAAAATAATGGTGTAGGGCATAAGTAGATTGCAAATAGTCGGAATACAATATTTTGAGATTCACAAGATAAATTGAACATCTGATTTGGTGCAACAAAATAGGAGATAAACATAATTAATAAACAAATAAACATAATGAGATATTGTATTAGTACTGGCAACACAATGTTAAAATGAATTGTTATAATAATGCTAAAGAGGTTGGTGTCCATGGGTTATTCAGATATATTGGTTTTTGCAGTTTATAAAGTTCCGACGGAGCCATTTTGTCCATAATCATAGCATGTAAAAGTTCACTAAGTTTAAACTGTATGTGAACTTACACTTGACAGAGATCTAGGCCGTAGGAAGAGAGTCTTGCTAATTTTCTGAAACTTTGGATACTGATGTTTTATCTTTAATTAAAAACCTTTGAATGCCAGGAGGTCAGTTCTTGGGGTTTATGTAATATACTCAGTAAGGGCATGAGAAAGTGTAATGATCAGGAGTTCCCTGTTCCCCACATATACAGATATCAGAATTTGCCAAATTTCTTGCGTAGAAATAGAAATAGATTTGTTGCTGTAGTTGAGAGTGCGTTTGATTTCTTTTGGATGATTTCATGTGCTTGATCAGACACCATGGAATAAGTTATAATAAACATAATTGGCGTGTTGCCAAGGCACTTTTCAATTTTGCTTTTTTAAAATAAAAATCCACCTAGAATTGTAGAAAATTTTGATAAGTAACCTCTTATGCATTTACATTTTGTCAATGCTGCTGATAAGTTGTTTTGGTTAATTTATTACTTGGTCGGCAGCTCAAATTCTAACTGAAATTGAAAATAAATTATTAAATATTATTCTGGAAATTCTGGAAATGAAATAAATTATTCTGGAAAGTCTTAAGCTTACTGTGCAGTAACTAAGTTACAAATTATCAGGTTGATTCTAACCGCATTGCTGAAAGCTTTTGTTATGTTGTTTGGTTCGCTACTTGTCCTTTGAGAAGTCAAATGGATCCATGCGATGGAAATCAGGAGGTCCTTTTCTTATGTATCCGAGTAAATAAAATAGGTCTACAAAAAATGCGTTACATCGCAATAGTAGGGTTCAAACTATTTTGTACTTCATGCACAGTCTTCTACTGCAATAGAAGGGTTCAACTATTTTGTACTTCATGCACAGTCTTCTACCTGAATTGTAGCTATTTTTATCGCTTTCTGCTTTCCTTAGTAAAGTAAAATCAAATTTGTTGTGAATTTATCCAAGTGTTTTTAATTTTATAAGTTGACTTCAGTAACACAAAATCATGCTTTATTGTGATTTTACATCGGAATTTTATTTTATTTTACATTGATAAAAGAATAATGGCCCTACAGAGTTTAGATGCCAACACATCAGATTATCAAGATGATGATCTTCAAAACTGGTTATGATGATGATCTTCAATAAATTGGTTCAATAATTAATCCAAAGCGTAAAGGAATAAACGAACACAAATATTAATTATGACAATATTAATTGGAATAAATATCACATAGGCTACTCGCACTACAAAATATTTAAATCTTGTTGCGACGTTTGCTGAAGTTAACCATAAACTGTGACATTCGAATATGGTATATATTTCAGAAGTGAGATAAATTTGCCTAAAAAGGTCCCATAAGGTCGGCTCTAATTGTCCGATTCTCAAAGATTGTGATCTAGAAGAAGAAATGATATGTATTGTTATTGTATTTTTAAAGACATTTTTAAATATGTCACTTGAGAATCAGCTTAAGAACTGATAAACCATGTATATATTTATTTTTAGGTATTGAAATAACTTCTTGATTTAGAAGATGAGCTCCGTAAAATTTATGACAAATGCTGAGAAAGCTGCTGTAGAAGAGGTAAGAAAAGAATTGAGTTTCTTGGAACGATTCTAATACAGAGAAGCAAAATCCAAAATTATCGGGACAAACAGATTCTTTTTTCTTTTCAAAACATAAGAACTTATTCTATCACGAAATGATTTTCTTCATAAAGCAAGCAGTGCATGATTAGAACAAAAGGTGAAGTGAGTCATTTATTGATAGATTATCAGAACTACGTAAACGGTAAAGCTGTTTATCGCATTTCATGTAAGCTATTTTTATTCGGATTCAAGAAATAATCTATAAATATCTTTCTGCGATTCTAAATCCACTGTTTTGAAGAAAAGCAAAGCTTATAATTCCTTTATATAATTTAGATTGCGTTTGCTTCGAAATGGGCTTTAAAGATGCTGCAACATTATTTTTGAGAAACCGAGGGATTTTATGGGAAAACTGCATTTTTAACTGGAAGGGAAAAAGACATTTTTTTAAATGGTATTTTTCTGATGTGCGAATTATAAATTAATTTTTGTATTTTATATATAAGAACTAGAAAATGGGGTAATTTCAAGCCGAGAAAAGAAGTTTCAGTAAAAAGCAGCAAACAAAGCAGTCTAAACGGAAGCACAGCCATGAAAGTAAAGATATTATATAACTGCTTATATTAACGATTTTCTATAATACCTTGTTTTTATTAACCAAATATATTTTAACCGTCTTTAAGAGATTGTAAGAGAATGCTTGGGTAATGTTAATTGGGATGCATAGCAATTGCAATCATAATAACGATAATAATGAAGACACACCCGATTTCGTTTAATTCAAACTTTCAATACGCTTACTAATTTCAATGAGCAGAGTTTTGAAACACATGAAGAAAAGAGCCAATTTTAATTAACTACATTTTACAGTACAGTTCTGCTTTTGGTCTAGTCTTGAATTTACAATGTTATGATAAAAATCTTTGCTTAGAATATATGTAATCTTATTTATTTTTAAAATCGTATTTTATCAGATTGCATAAAATTTTCTTATATCTCCAAAACTGTACTACATAAATAAGAAATCGCAAAATATTTTCTCTCCCTTCTTGAGCAGTTTCCCTTTAGATAATGTTTTTCGAAGAAACTCATTTAAATCTTTGCATTTAGACACACGGCAGTGTGTCAGCCGAGGTCGGAGCGGACGGAAAAGAAAACAGGGAGACACCGGCCATGTGTATCTTACACGAACCATTTCGAGCTACATTCGAACCCCCATTATTCATAAACTATTAGACCTACTCTAATAGAGCATCCTTGAACACCTAGATTCCATATTGCATTAATCTACCCCCTTATAGTTAAGGAATTATTAAGGTCTGAAAAGTGCAATTTTTATCACTCACTGACTGACTGAGACATCAAAACCCTAGACCACTTCTAAATGACTTAGATACTTCAAATTTGGCATCAAGGTAGATCATTAGGCATATACAAAGGAAAAAATCTGAAACTTCAAAGAGCCGTATTATTCTACAGAGATATCACGAAAAGAATGTAAACAGCTTACAAACGATAAAAGTACGTCGTTCAGTAACTTAAATTTATAAGATAAGAAATAGATGCCAAATGCAAATAAAATAATAGAAAATAGTAAAAAAATGGGAAACGTGAATCTATAAAATAAGATTTGAACATTTATATTGTTTAATAATTTATAATAGCTGTTTAAATTTATTGTTTACATTTTTACGTCGCTTTAAAAACCTAAAATTTCAAAAAAGCTACATCATTATCGAACGTTATATCGCCCGATTCGGCAACTTTATCGATAAGTAGAAAGAGTGTCAAAAAAATAACTAGACACTGAATGGGCTACGCGCTCTAACATTTCCACCATTATAGTAGAAAATATGCAATTGCCAATAAAAAGAAACCAGTTCAGCGTAAACGCAATATTTCCACTGTTATAGAAAATATAGAAATTGCTAATAAAGAGAAAAAGAAAACAGTGCAGAGTAAAACGCAAGGGAAATAATTGAAGGCCACATATTTTTAGACGCTTTTTTATTTAATAAAATACTTATAAAATTTTTTATTTCATTTTCCTAAAAGGAAATCAGTGCAGAGTAAAAGCAAGAAAAAATTTGAAGGTTACATATTTATTTCGACATCTTTTTCATTTAAGTGTCTAAATAAGAACATAACCTTTAATTTACCATTTCAAAAATTAATGATATCATAACAACATAAATGTGAAAAAGAGGCAGAGTTCGGGAGAAGCGACGTTCGGTGTAGTCGGTGTCACCGGCAAAAGATTTGAAATCTAACGGATGGCAAGTTCCGTAGCAGTTCCATTAATCAAAGCTGTAGGAATATACAACGTCCTTCAATTCATTTAAAAAACAATTTATTACTTTCTTTGATATCGGATTTTTAACTTGGTAAGTTTTAACTGTCAATAAATTACGTTTAAAAAATTTAGCATCTCCAATTAGAAATTAATTTGCCAAGTTTAAACCCAACGATCCGTTTTATCGGTGACACCGACTACACCAAACGTTGTTTCTCCCGACCTTGATCCCTTTTTCACATATATGTTGTTGTTATAATTTCATTTTCAGTAAAAACTTCTTAAATAATTTCTCAAACTTCAATGAAAGTGCAGTAATCTTCCTTTCTGTTGCTATTACAGACAATCCTTCCAAATGTTCTCCAAAAAGCTATACGCTACTGAGGCTACAGGTATAGCGACTTCAACAAATAAACTTCTAGTACTGTGTATAATATTTGAGAAACTTTCTTCCAAACTCTTTCCATAGAGACAATGAAGTAACGTTAGACTCTTCCTGACATTTTGTAGTAACATGGAGATAACACCTTTAATTAGCAAAATATGATGTGCTTACGTCTCCTGAGCTTTGTTGTTTTATTTTGAATCTAGTGTGATTTTTTAAGCTTAAACTTCTTCTGAGAGTGTACGAGCATTTTACAGCTGCTTTTCAATTATTTCTTGAATTTTGCCAACTTTTTAATGTCAGAAACATGATTAAAACATCAATCAGAAATTTGAACTTGACTGTGCAAAATCATTCTTTCAAAGATGTTTCAAAAATACGTCTTTGAAAGGTTTATCTCTGAAAGATATATGCTTCAAAGATGCATCTTTCAAAAGGGCATCTTTCGAAGTTGTTTTTTTTTTTAATTCAGTGGCGGGTTCTTGACTCTTCAGCACATGCCACACCTAAGGCCAGGAGTGGTGGTCATTTTATTGTAGAGACACTTAACAGGCGGCCACCGTTGCCTCCTATCAAAGGAACATACAATTAAACCAATGGCTTCTCCGGTATTCAACCTCGGGCCCTTTGGTACCGTAGTTAGCTACTCTAACTACTATACCATCTGCGCGTCTTGTTTCAAAGATTAACTATCTTTCAACAATTTTTTTAAATGGTTTTAAACCCTTACTTTCGTAAAACTTATGAAATCTGACAAATTCATAAAACTGTTGAATGAACGTACGAAATTCGTAAAATTTATGAAATGTGATTATTTTTATGAAGACCGTTACTCACCCTTTACTTTCAGAAAAATGCCTTTTCATAGTTGAGCATCACCTACATGTTGTATCTCTGAACTGAATTACGTCCACTAAAAATGCACCCAATTCTAGTTCTTTCCCAATTTTTCTAAAACCTCTGATTCAGAAATCTTCAGAAACAGCTAACGTTATATATTAATTTCATTGCAGTATTTAAGTACATGTTTACCTTCAATGCTTTATACATTTTACTAGCACAAATAAAAGTATTGCACTAGATTACAAAGCTAAAAGAAAATTTAAATATTGAATTTCTTTTTTCGCAGTCGACGAAAATCTCAATAAAAAGCTAATTTCCCCTTAAAATTATCTTTAAATAAGCTGCCTGTTTTTAGATTCCTAAGTAACCTCATTAACTTCTCATTCATGTTTGCCTTCAGGTTTCACTGAGTTATTCTAATATAAAACATACATATTCAGTCAGAATTTCCCAGAGATTAACGACTCCCGAAAATACTATTAGCAATTTTTATCCATATAAAAAAACTTATTAAAAGAACCATTTAAAGAATTAATAGCATCACTAATGATAAAATTTATGCCATGAACAGTGCAACTTGTGCAGTAACACCGAGCTCTTGGATTTTCTGGAATTATACGAGCTTGTGTTATAGTACAAGTTACGTACAAGTTATTTCCATTATTATATCGTTGAACTTGCTGCGAGTTACTCAAATGTTACATGATATTAAAAGCAATAACTCAACAAGCCTTCAAAATAGTAAAACCAACCTTGTATTTAGCGTAAATATATTGAATCACTCAATCGATTTCGAGGGCAGCTAAAGGTCCCTCCTCATATTTTGTAAATTACAATGTGTGGTGGAAAGTGAAATATGAAAGCGATAGCACAGTAAGTGTGAACTACATGGAAAACGGAAAGTCATTTTTATGCATCATTTTTATGCATCAATAAATAGTTTTTGATATTTACAAGAATTATTCGTACATGCATGCCACGTACGGCGGATATTGTTAGTGAAACAGAGACTAAAATCCTTTCCACCAGAATTAGCATCGCTGCTGCAGAAGTACATGACATGCCAGGCATTTCCAAAGTGTAGCCAAAGCATATGACTTAGCCTCTGGAAGGTATGTATTAAAGGTGACAGTCATTCAGTTCAAAAATTTTTGTAAACACTATCAAGCATTATTTTTTCCAAACATCAGGCTTAAAACAACCATTCGTTCTTCGTGTTTTTCGTACTTTTACTGTGTTTCCTCATTCAGTTTTATATTGCACTAATCATTACGCTACGAAGTTCTGATAATCCCTTAAATTTGGCATCATTAATGGTGCTGTTACGCCATGTGTATATTCTTCAGTGGCAAAATGTCTAGGAAAGGTTTACACTAAGTTTCAAATCACTTCAGTTGTTTTATGACAGGCATATGTTGACATTTTAAGAATATGTTATTTAAGAATATTTGTTGAATGTTTTAAAAATTTGTTTTGAATATTTAAGATTATTAGTTGCTATTTAAGAATGTTTGTTTTTAAATACACTGTTTTTCATTAAAAAAAGGATAACTTCATCAGAAATTAAAGGAATTATTTCACGTTTAATGTCACTGCTGAGGATTATAACCAATGTTTCAGAATTTGATACTTGTTGAGCACATTCCTTCAGTGCTCTATAATTTCTGCCGTTAACTTAATTTATCCTAAAAATTTTCATTTGATTTGATTCCTAGCTTTTCCCTTGATCACCCGTTATGGAAGGATTTTTTGCTGCCAGAAACATTACAAAAAGGAAACAATCTCTCTAAACCTAATCTCCAAATAATTGTGGAAAAAATGTATTAAGATGTTTTGTTTGTTCTTTCTGCAAGTTGATTTTCTATTTTGTGTTATTTGATTCAAAACTTTTGAGCTCTGCACTGATAGAAACAATTTATCCAGTTTACACATATGATCTATATATGGCTGTGAATAGTTCTTAATTAGGGAGAAGTTCTAAGTATTCATATCAGTCTCCGTAACCATTTCTTTCGTGACAGTCTCAATTAGAAATAAGGAATTTTAAACAATAGCAGTGCAAGAGCATCCATTGTCTCCGAGTATGCAAGTCAATTATTTTTCACTTTCTCAGGCTTTGAAAATATACAATTGAAATTATAAACACCAAAACAACGATAAGTTTCCTCTTGCATGCAGATAATACGATGGGAATTTACCAGTTCTTATCATAAATACGTGAAAAGCTCCTTAATTAAACTAATTCTAAAATTATTGTTTACGTCATCTGACCAGCAGATTTTTTCCGTCTTTAGTCAGTATATTCTTCTAATTCCGATAATTTGTCTTCTTTTGGTTTTCCAAGAAGAAAATACTCAAATTATAATTTTCGTCACTCAGCACTGAAGTTGTTTCTGTTATTTAATCATTTTCTCTTTTTCTTAATCACGAAATGCAAAAATTTTAATCTTTTCTTGAGCAGTTTTACTTCAAAGATAATAAAGCAAAATTAATCATACATAAATATGTTATAAATTAATTTTAGTAAGGAGTTAAATAATTGTTGATCAAATTTCAGTATGTAAGTTCTCAATGCAAATTTTACGCGCTATTTGAAAGAATAAAATTAAAACTGCGTTTTATAAAGACAATCTGTTACACGATGTAATATACCTTTATAATCAATTGTACGCAAAAATCTCGTAATTTATTTTTCCGTAACGGATTCATATGTTGCTTCTTTTTTAGTAGTTGCATCACTATTTCTCAGTTTTAAACATTTATATTTACATCATAAGCTCATACCTTATGCCAAATTTTCTTATCGTCATAATTACCCAACAACACGCCGCCCAGTTGGGAAAGTGGTTAGTGACTCTGATTACCGAATCGAACGGTCCGGGTTCAAATTCTGGAGAAGACATGAATGTAAATTGCCTGTCCTTTCGTAGGAGGTAACAGTCGCTACCTATCAGGAGCCTCCATAATATAATTACCACCCTTCTGGCCTTAGTAAGAGATTATATACCATGGCGAGAGCCTAAAAATGCCTAGTACATAGCAACCCCCCAAACGGGAAAGTGGTTTTGTGTCTCTCACTACGGTACCGAAGGGCCCGCGTTCGAATGCCGGAGAAGGTGTATTTTTAAATAGTCTATTTTTTCATAGGAGGTAACCTATGAAGGCCTTTTATTATCATCTGTCATTTTATTAGGTGCCTCCATAATAAAATGGCCACCGCTTCTGACCTTAGTAGTGGTCATAGCCTAAAATGTCTAGTGTTCGCCATAAAGAATAATAATAGTAATTATAGAACATAAATTCTGTTGGAAACTGTAAAGAGTGATTCAGCCTGACGTTTTGTTCAAAACCAAGCATTCAAAACAAATAGTGAAAGATGCAGCTATTTTAAGCAGCTGTATTAAGATGTCCTACTGCGAAATTCAAAAGCTTCGCGCTCTTGAGTTTCTTTTCAAAACTGTTAGAGGTTGATATTTTACTCATTCACGAAATGAAAATTCTCTCTAGAAGCAATTCTCATAACATAAAACTGGATAACTGTTATTGCGATTTTGATAAGCCTGGATATTTGAAAATCTCCGTTTGATAAATCTATCGCAAGAAAATGTCTCTCTTTGTTTTATGACAAGAAATAGCCGTACTGTCCGAATATAGATTTGGTTATATTTCCCCTGCAGTTCATATACATTATTTATATGTTTTTATGTGTAAATAAGCATGATTAGCTAATCATTATATGACAAAGTTTGCGAAGAAAGCTTGGATTATATACAAGGTTTTGGGGAAAAAATATTAGTTATAAAAATAAAGGAAACAACATAATCCTTACTGGAAAGCCCGAGCTTGAAGATGTTGAATATCAACAATAGGTGTCTTCTGTTATCAGGATATAACATCGAACTCTGTGAAGTCGAAGATTTAAAATCCTGCAGTGTTTGCAAGTCGAAGGAATTAAAATCAATAACACCTGACCTGAGAAAACTCGCTGCAAAAGACACCAAGGAATGTTTTGAACTATTAATGACTTGAAAAAACTAGTGGAAACATGAAAGTAAGTGTATAGATCTGTTCTCAATCAGGAAGATGATAAGGGCAAGAATAAAGATGGAAATATTTGTATATATCATTAGTTTTAATGTCTAACTATGTTAGTGCTAATACACTTTAATGCATTTTTTTTTCATTTCTTGTGAATTATTAATTTACTTTTACAGTTTCATGAGCATGCCCATGTAAAATTTTCTGCTTTATAAATTTCTATATGTCATAAACTCGGTAAAACAATCAATATAAATGTGATTTATAAATTCTCAAAAATTAGCTAAGTATTTAAATTTGAAATTTCATTAAGTTTTACTAGTTTCATTAAGTGTTATTGGTTTCCTCGTCTTTTTTATTTAAAATTTTAAACTTATTTTTAATTCCAACCTAAATTTTGGATTTTTATTGTTCGTTTTATAGTTGAGAGAGAAATTTGTTGGAGATCTGAGCCCTAAATTGTACGAGAACACTCTTATGTTTTACCGATTTCTCAAAGGTATGTAGTTTATATTTCTGTTCATCAGTTTTGTAAACTGTTAATAAAAGTTACATCAGTACGATGCAAAAGATTCATATGATATATCTTCCTAATTTTCAAGTTATAAAAACATTCTACATTATAAAGTGGCATGTAGTGAATATATTTTCATCTTAATTTATATTTTATACTCTTACTATAAAGTCATTGTTTTTTTTTAACTTTAAATTGCAGCTCGAGACTTCAATCTAGATAATGCAGAACATATGCTAAGAAAGGTTAGTGAGAATTATTTTCTCTTATACGAGTAATTATGAATATAACGTATATTTACGATAAAAATTAATGCTTTTGTTTTTTGATAAAAAAAAATAATTGATAAATTTATATTTAAATCTGAGATTTGATTTATTGAAAATCGTTTCGCAATTTTTTAAATTCACATTTTGAGCAGATAAATAACAAATAAATGAATGCTTTTATTCATTTTTTTATGTTAATATGTGTAAAGACAATTTTTATATATATGCTGTTACGTATTTTAATTGAAAACTATTCCGATTTTCCACTGTTTTCTACCCATTCGGCCTTGAGTAGGCTTGTTTTTTGATAAAAGGATGTTGCAAATTTTAACATAAAATTTATCTCTAAAATTAATTATTAGGAAAAATTAATTATTAGGAAGATAATAAGGGCAAGAATAAAGATGGGAATATTTGCATATATCATAAGTTTTAATATCTAACTATGTTAGTGCTAATACACTTTATTTTTCATTCATAATACATTTTTTTCTTTTTCATTCATAATACATTTTTTTCCAACTTGAAAATTTCTATGTTATCTGAAATAGTATAATTCGAACGAGATTTAGGTATTTGAAGGAAGTTTTACTTTCAAAATGATTGCTTATCACTTAACAAATTAGTGTTCTTTGCTTTAAAAGTACACAAAAAGTATAAACTGGTTTAATTAACATTGCAAAACACTTTAGAAATGAATGTTTTTTTGCAAAACTTCTATAAGAAACTTTTGTTCGCGTTGCATATAGAAAAAATTATGAATATTTATCCATTCATTTTTTCTAATTCCAGGAACTGTAAATCGCCTTGAACTTGCTCTCGAATATTAATAGGCTTAGAAAAACTTAAAAGTCTTGCTTATTCTTTTAGCACTTGAAACTGCTGACTCTCAAAATTTAAAGAAAATTTTTGCCCAGTAATCACTTTGTGTTTTAATTGATTATCTCCGTGGTAGTTAAACTAGATTAGTCCTTCTTTAGTCAAATTTTGCCTACGTTGTATTTGCCTTCTGATGAATCTGCAGGATTGTTTGTCATGGAAACAATCTTTTTCATAACTTACGTTCAACATGAGAGATAAAAATAAAATTATATTAGAAAATCTTTATCAAACATATAAATGAGTCTTTAACTTTTATTTATTGTAATTTTCAAAGGCTTTTCTTTTGATTTTTAAAGCTATAATTTATCAATATATTATCAGACGTTTGTTCAATTTATTCAACAAAACTTATCGTTAAGTTTTCCTCTATTTGTAGCATATTCAATGGAGAAAAGAGCAAGATATTGACAATATTTTTACTTACAAGCTTCCAGAAGTAAGTGCTTAAAATTTATAACGCTCTGCCTATAATCATCGCATTATTACACATTAATTGTCATTACTGTAATGATTAATAATTACACATTAATTATCATACTGTAGATAAATAAATTCGAAAACATTTTTGAAAAACTAATTCTTCGACAGCTTGCAAGTGATTATTTTGTACCAGGTTAACTATTTTCAAAAGAATTAACGTACTGAACTTCAAATATTGTGAAAATACTTTCTCATTTCTTTCATTTCCTTTTGGCCTATAGTGATGCCAAATGAAAATTATGTTCATCTAAATTTCAGATATGCTCGACATTGTGATAAAGATTTAAGTATAACGTCCCACATTCGTCCTAGTCATAATTTAAAATTTATAAACTATGAGGCTGTCTTTGTGCGCATTTTTCTTTTTTGGCTCCAGAAGTCCATATTTCTTCAGAATATTCAATGATATATACAGAATTTTTTAAAGCTGTGGTGGCCAGATATTGGATTCTTGAACTGGATGTATTTCAATGGGCGTCAACAAAGTCAACAATTATTTTCAGTATTTCTTTATTGTCTAGTGTAAACCCCCAGTAAGTTTCAAATTTTACGGCAAGCTACGTTGATACAAGTTGAAGCAAGGGCGGCACTTCTACATTTCTATATGTGAGTTATGAATCACCGGGCCTTGCTGTTATGCTTCCGCCCAAATTTTGCTGAAGAACACCTGAGGGGGGGGGCATGCAAGGATCTCCCACTTCTCTACCTCTACCATCAACCTACCGAGAGGACTTTCAGCTCCCTGTGTATTTTGAGTTCCTCCATGCCACACTATATGCTTGCAGTATCCATTGCCTTCTCATTAATTCAAGCCCAGACCCAGTGGCATGACAGCCAGCGTCACTAATCACCATACCGGCTGGGCGGCAGCTACATTGGTAGTACGACCAGTTTTATGCAGGGAGTTTCATTCCTTTTCTTTCTGCTTTCCCGCAACAAAACCAACTCCCTAATTATACTTCCTGGCCACTTCATATCATTACCCCTTGCTTTAGCTTCTAGACTTCTGAAATTACAATCTTCTTTACTAGCTCTTAATATTTCATCTTGATCAATATTGAGAAACGATTAATACTATGTTTCATTAATTATTTCCCATTATGTTGCTTTGTGAGTTCAAATTTCATCAACGACATTTTTCTTTCCTTGAAGAAACAGTATAAATAAATTTATTCCAGCCTCTGGCATTAGCTAAAATAAACAATTTGAAGAGCATTTGATAAACTGTATGTGAGGATGCTTAAATTTGCTTCGATCTTATATCGCAAAAATAAAGCCTTATTTACAAAGTTTTGTTTAAAAGCTATAAAATTTAACCACATTTATATTCTAACACATTTTTATCGACCTCATTTTTGATGTAGTATGTCTCAATTTCAAGAATTATGTTGTCTAATTTACTGAGAATAACATAACGGTAACCGAGGTCATACCTCTAATACTACGTGAAATGGCTTTAAAAAGAAATTTTTATCTGTTAATAATTTCAGGTAAAAAAAAAATATACCTTGAGGCAAAAGATTACCAAACCATATCTTTAACCCTTTACAATGTCTGTTACTTCAAGAGATTGAAATTAAATAGGTAATTCAATATGAAACACAAGAATAGTGTCATACCGGAAAAATAACCCACAAGACAGGGCCTTCTTCATAAAAAATTCGAAAATCAATGTGCTAGTTAAATTTGCATGAATTGAGCCTGAAAACTAAATGTAACTGATGCAAATCCTACAATAGATGGGTAGACGACTTATTGCTATGGCTAAGACGAAACAGTACTTAAGAAGAGGGTAAAAGGTCCTTTATTTAAAACTGTGTAACTTAAATAGAAGAAACACCTAGTGCTTACAAATCAGCCAGCATTTAGGGCGTGAACTCAAATCTAGAATTTCAAATTAAAGCTAAATCTAAGTATTTATTAGCCAAGGACTACGCAGAGATTATTTAAAGGCGAAAGTTGGCTTTTAAAACCATACCAGCTTTACAGAGCTGAAAAAGTCGCAGACTCCTCCAAAAAAACTCGCTAAATGGAGGAATTCTCAGAATGGAAGTTATGATAAATGATGATGTAAGAGGAGCATTCTTTTTAAACTTTAGATGTAAAGCAGTAGTAAAATGAAATAGAAATGCAAAATTATGTACCGTTAACGTGCCCAATCCATCAAAGTTGCGTAAGAAAATTACATAAATTCATTGAAAAAATAATGAGTTACAATTACACTCACGTCCATAAATTAAGGATAATGCAAAATCAGGCAAAGGAAGAGTTAGAAGAAAAACAAATTTGATTTATTTGTAAAGCTTATTTATTAAACAAAAGGTAAAGAGCAAAAAAAGATGCTATATGTTTGATATTATTAAAAAAAGTAGCGATTTTTCCTCCCTGGAGCAAATTCCAAAAAAATCCTATTTACAAAAAACCAATATTACATGGTTGGTATGATTGTTAATACATCGTATGTCTCCCAGACGATGCAATACAGTCCGTACAACGCCTAGGCATGCTGAGTATCAAATTATCGATCTGATCTTGGGGGATATTACACCACTCAAAAAGCAATGCTCTCCGAAGTTCCGGTCCCAGAATAATTCCACCCCAAACGAGCACTCCTGCACCACCGTAACGGTGTCGTTCAGTGATGTTTTCTTGGTGGTAACGGGTACCTGGAGCTCTCGACATGAAAGTTCGGCGAGAATCAGACTGCAAGCTAAACCTGGACTCGTCGAAAAATATCCCACAAGCCCACTGTTGCGGTGTCCACAATGTATGCTCTCTACTCCAAGCTAACCGCAGGCGACAGTGAGTTGCAGTAAGTGGAACGCATCTGACAGGTCTACGAGCATATAGACCAATCTGCCCTAAGCGTCTGTACACGGCCTGCCTTGAAATTGTCGTGCCAGTGGCTGAAGAGAACTGACGAGACAGGTCTTGGCTGTGCTCCGCCTGTTTCTTTTGGCAGTAACTGCCAAATGCCGGTCCTCATTCGGCGTTGTAACTCTGGGGCGACCTGTGCTGTAACGTCTACTCACATTACCATCATCTTGGAATCGTTGCCAAAGCCTGGAGCTGACACTCTGGGCAATTCCAAGTTCGTCTGATACTTCCAGTTGGGTACGCCCACAGGCCAGACGGCGATAATTCTACCATCTAAAAATCATCCAAATGCGTCCTTTGTGTCATAACTATTCGTTATTGCACTGAAATGCTTATAAAGCGCCTGCGAACAATTTTACTTCTTTGCCTGTATTCCTTATATATCACTCTCTTACATTCTCGTCATTGTGACGTACCATCGGTGTTATCTGGTTCCTTCCTGAAATTTGCATATGATTCTGGAAGATGTGTGTAGTGATTTTTACAGGTGATATGTTTATTTTAGAGTTCGATTTCCGCGTGACTCAATTATCCTTAATTTATGGACATGAGTGTAATTTGTTTCGATTTTTGGGAACAATATGTAATAATAACTCTCACATCTTTATAATCAGCGTCTTTCCGGTATACTTTATGCAAACTTAAAAAAGCACCGTATAAAGCAGTGGTACTCAACCTTTTTTGGTGCTGGGGCACACAAGGCAAAGGCAGTTATGCGGCGGAAGCCGGCACCACAAAACATTTCCGTCCCAGGTGATATTCAAGCCAAACCTCGGCGATATTACCACGTTACTAGTTAACGCTAGCCCGTAAAAAAAAAACGCGCCCTTATAAAGAAGATCGAAAAAAATGGGTCGAGATAGGAACAAAATATAGTACATTTCATGCACAAAGTTTTTATTGCTCACAATATTAGTCATGTCTCTTCTGTTTATGGTATTGCACTTAATGCGATTTTTGACACTGAATTTCGTCCACCAACATATGTACGTTAGGTGCATATGCTGAGGTTCCCGCACGCAAGCAATAGCCAGGATCCGAATCAGTGAGCCTGCTCCGGGTCTTCGACTTGATAATGTTCATGGTTGAAAATATATAAACGCAGAAAAGGTAGGTAGACCTAAAACAAGATGTGATTTTATATGCAACACTTCTCTGTGAATCTGCCACTCTGTTCTGACCCATTAACAAACTGTCAAATAGAGAAAATGCACATTTTTATAAAAAAATATATCACTAAACTATCAATCGCGTTTTATTAGAGTGTCCTCCTTTTAGTCTTTTATGTAATAACCATCCTATTTAATTCAATCGTTATTAACGCAGTCGCCTTTCATTCAAGCTTTTTAACATTAACAATTTTTTATGATATTTAGTGATTAATTAATCACTAAGCATCTTCATGGAATTGCTTTTAATTTTTAAAAAGTTATCACTTTTTAATAATGAAAACCTATTCTTTTCCACAAGTCTACATCTGTGGAATGTGCTTGCAGGATAATATCATTCTTCAGTTCGACTATTTCCAGCTCGAAGTTTCCCACTTCTGTAGCAATAATTCTTGCACTTTTGAACTTTGAAACTGGCCTAACAAATACTGATTGCTGTTCTGAAAGCTTTAATTTCAACTCACATACTTTCTTCTTCCTAATTTCCGAACCTTCCGGGTAGTTCGTTGCAAATATTCCATGATTCCTCTGAAAGTGAAGTTCCACATTATGTTTTCTTGGCCAATGCTACAGAAGCACCACAAAGCAAACACACGCACTTCCCTTTCACATCAACAAAGTAATACGTTTCTTCCCAGCTGGAATTGTAATTGTATATCTTCTGCCTTTTGCTGAGCCCGCTCATCGTGCTGTAGCTGTGAAAAAAATCACTAAGCTCCGACGCAGAATAATGCTGAATAAGACTGGGTGCACCACTAACACTATCACTGCCAAAAGCTCAAAGATGACTAGTGAAGAAAAGTTGCCTTTTTCTCCTTGTTAAATAGTACTTAACAGTCGAGTCAAGGGTCGACTCTGCTCTGCAGTTCCCTCCACTTTTGTCACTCTTTGTCAGCCTTTTTTGGTGTGGTGAGCTTTGTAATATCGTGCTCCCAATCTTAAAACTTTATCGTCCTACTAACCCGCGAGTCCCGGTAGTTACAGAAACATTATAAACAACAAGGACGTTAGAACAGAATCAGGGAGGGTTCGCAAGTTTCCTCCACTATCGGGGAATAAAAACCCTATGTTCTGTGCGTATATTTTCCAGCAAAAATATGTTAAATTTATAATGAAATACTTTGCTATTGTTAAATTTTTGTTTTAAAGTAATACAGATGATAATTATAATTTGCTATATACAGAAATTTATTAAGAAATAGTTCGAAATCTAAATGCATGTGCATAACATTAAAGCCTTTAAAAATTATGTTTCTGCATGTTTCAAGGATTTATTTAGCTTTACTTAGCAACTTGTTGGGTGTACTTTCCAATTTTTCCTTTAAGGAGTGATATTTCTGATTTCTTCACAATATTATCATAATTTATTAAAGAATCATTTCATATACAAAGTTTAAGAGATAGGAAAGAAAGTTATTTTATTTTAGTATGCTTAAATAATTCCTATTTAAGTTGTAATACACTAAAACAGAAATTCACGTATTTACCAATAATTATCTAAAAAAATAGTCACAGGTTGCATTTTTTTAAATGAAGATTTAAATATATCCTTTTCAGAACCAACAACTTTATAACAACAATAAAATAAATATTAATAAAATAATACAGATATATGTGTATTTAATGATATCATTTTATGCGTGTTTCATACTTATGAATCTCAAAGAAATTGCCTTGAATTAAGCTGAATTACAGAAACATACCTAAATAAACTTTTGGATACGTCTTTCCACATGTTCAGTTGAGTAAATATTTTATTTACTTTTATCGCTATACTGCCCAGAAATTTGTAAGTTTATGCCAACAATTTTTCACAACAGAACAATTTATCTTGATCAAGTGCACAAATTATATTCATAACAGTTCACAAAGCTTAAAAAGGAATAATAATCAATACACAAAGAAAAGCATTACTTTATTTAACACCTTTACAATTCATAAAAATAGTATCAATTGATTTCTTACTTTTCATGAAAATTATAAAACGAATTACCTAAAAACGTTCAAATTGTACAGTTTAAACCCTAGCATATCTCATTGTACGTTAAAGAACGAAGATTACAGCTATAAACAGAAACATCCAAATGTATTTAACATGTTTTGATCAAGTCCTTTTTTTCACATGTGGAAAGAAAATAACATGACTGCAATATTTTTCAACCTATTTATCAAATTACATTAAAAATATCAATACTTACGCGTGAAAAATAATCCCGGAAATATTTTTTGAAAATTGATTTGTGCATCCATATGCAACACAAGATGACATTACTCAAAAAGAGAAAAAAAAATGTTGCAATGACAGACTTCCTTGCACAAGTCACAGCGACAGTAGTAACATGGCCGCCAAGATTCACGGTTTGAGTTGAACCTTCCCTTCTTCTATTCTAACCTCCTTAATACAGAAAATACTCCTTTCGGTGACATTTTTCGACTTTCTGAGCAGCTGCGTTCAAGGTCATGTACGTGTCATCCACAAGCATTTCCGGAATTTATCTCGCCTCTTTTTCAGAAATTCGATAACCGGACTTGCCAGGCCCGAGACGCTCGTTCGCACATTTCAAACCGGACAGAGGTGATAACATATTAACATATCCTTCAAGCTCTGCTCAAACGCCAGAGGCTAGACTTCGAATTTCATGCTGTTTACTTTAATAATATTTCAGTTAGAATACAATTTTCAAGATGTTTTAAAAATTTCGTTCAATTTTTCTGTATCATTGTGAAACAATGATTAAAATCTTGAAAGCTGTAAAATCAAAATCGTATTAAAAGTTCAAAATGAACTCTATTATCCCCTAGGTATGGGAGGAGGGAACATTGAACGGAGTCTGGGAAATTTATATCAGTGTTAAACTGATTACATGTTTTTCTTGCAGAGCTTTTTCAAGATGGCATTACTCAAAAAGAGAAAAACCGCAACATATAGAAAATAGTTTTTTTTTTTTTTTTTTTTTTTTTTTTTTGTATTCTCTTGGTTTATTGTACAATGGTTATGATTCATTTAGTGATTACAGATTTATGTGTTTTCTCAGTTTGTGTCAGGTACTACATTGCCCTAATTAAAAATTCAACCAATTTTTTTTTAATGTTTATGTCTACAAGAATTTAGATACAATCATCGCTTGTAATATCAGCGCATAGAAATTTCTAAGCGATAAGTGTATTTTACTGGCTCATTTCTTTAACAAATACTTTGGAGAAGATAGCTAATAAAATTTGTTTTTTTTTTTTTTTTTTTTTTTTTTTTTTTTTTTTAAATATTGATTTTATATACTTTATTATAGATAGCCAGGACTATAAATTAATATTGTACTTAAGCTTGGGCTTTTTGAAGATTGTAAGCCCGGGCGTTTTAAAGATTGTAAGCTTGGGCCTTTTAAAAGCTATTTAGAAAGAAATTATTTTCATAAAATTTCGAATTGTTGAAAACATTTCCATAAAATTACCTACCTTATTCTGAGAAAATTTGCAATTGGAAATAAACGTACAGGATCTATTTGTGAGGAAATGAAGCCAGAACTTTTGGAACTATTTTACTACTTTTGGAACATATTTTATTTGTATGTGACTCTTAATTTAACTCTAAAGGACTGAATGAATAATGAATAATGTAAAATGTGCTTTAAAAGGAGATGCTTCAAATTAATTATTCTCGTTGCTTTTAGGTGTTAGAAAAATATGTACCTGAGAGCAGGTTTGGATTCGACAAAGATGGTTGTCCAGCCCGATACATTCCTTTGGGAAGAGCAGATGGCAGAGGTGCGTATTATTATATGCTAAAATAAGACAATATTTGCAGAGTATTATTTTAATTTTATTTCTAAAATCATATGCCATATTCTACTCATTCTTATCAATAAATCGTTTTGGCGAAGACAGTGTATTGAAAAACCGGCATAATGCCAAATCTACATCACAGGAAGGCAAAATTTTGCTTTTGCACGTGAAGCAAAATTTTAGCATACTTTTCAAATTATAGTCTTAAGAAATTAAAATAATACTTCACAAGAAAATGTATGGAGAGATAATTAGATATATTCTTCTTAATAATATTATTAATATTTGTAACATTACTATCTTTGCTACAGTTTTCTGAACTTCTGCTTCAAAATAATGCTTTTTAAGGTTTGATTTCTCTTTAGAGACGAAAAAATGGTCTTCAGATGCCAAATCTGGAAAGTACTGAGGGTCTGCTTATAGGAAGAGTTGCGCTACTTTTTGCATTATACTGCTTGATTTTAATAACTATTTTGTGCAAAGACAATATAATATAAAATTTTAATGAGTTACAGAATTAATATTAGCTTGTCACTTTTACAATAAAATGAAAACAAAACCTTAAATCTGATCATATCTTTCTGATTATTGCATCAGCTAAGTATGTTATTTTAATTTTAAAATAAAAATATTTGATACCAAAAATATTATAGTATTACATAATATACATAAAGGTACAAAGAAAAATTCTGTACCATTCAGCTAAGCCTATGTATAATGCCCCATAATACTACCTATTCAAATAATTTCCTGGGTCCACCAGTTCTTATATGAGGAGATGACTATCTGTTTAGAGATATTTTCATCTCTATTTAATCCTGTTACCCCTATTTATTCATGTGACATGCGCATTTATACTTTAATTGATGGGCATATTACTCTTGAATAATGCCCAGCGAGTCATTAACCTAACGTTAGGAGAATGAACAGTTGAATAATATTATATAAGCCGGGTAGATGGCTGAATTTTAATCTTATCAGAGTCTAACTGCTAATGTTCCATAATTAGTGTTACCACAGTCAGGTTAAAACAAATTGAACACTACTTTACAAAGATGATACTTTACTCGTGAATTTCTTGTATTTATTATTTTGACAAATACCTGAGACTACACGAAGCAACACGTCTAGGTACAGAATCAATGAGATTATGGATGGTGTTCTAAGGAATGGCTCTCTATCCCCTGTCAACCATTTGCCGCAGTTCGTCTTCTGAACACGGCAATGGCAGGGAATGCAGATGAGGTCCAATCCGATCCCAAATGTGTTCGATTGGTGAGAGATTAAGAGAGAACGGTGGATAGGAAAGCATCTGTACACCTTGCAAAGCACATTGGATGATGAGAACAGTGTGTGATCGGGCGTTATCCTTCTGATAAAGGATATTGAGCATATCCTGAAGATAAGGGAGTGTCACCAGCTGCAGCACTTCATCCGCGTATCGCTGGGCCGTCCTAGGCTCTGAATACGAACTAGAGGTGACGTAAAACCATACGCAATTACTCTCCAAATCATGATGCTGCGTTGTCGCACAGTGGAGAGCTCCACATTTGCAGCTGGATTGGACCCGTCTCCATATCCCCCCCACATTCGTACACGGCGACGATCATTGGAGAAACAGAAACGCAACTCATCTGAGAACACGACCTTGTGCCATTCCAGCGTTCACATTCCCCGATCCCGATACCATTCAAAACTTTGGCGTCTGATATGGGATCAATGGCAGTCTGATATGGACGCCACGAGTGCAGGCCACTAGCCACAATCGACAGCAAATGCTTTTCGTCGATATGGGAACCTCCAGGGTGTCTTGAATCCAGGGTGCAGAATGGAGGTAGAAGTGACTTGCGGGTGCGCCACCGCTTGTCGGCGGATGAGTCGATCCACGCGTGCTGCGGTCATTCTGGCTGTATCGGCACCCCTCGAACTTACCTTATTTCCTTGTTCCAACCATTGTCGCTACATCCAGTAACGCCTCAGTAATAGAAGTTTTAATATCATCCAATCCGGATTTAGAAAATAATATTTATGTAAATGTTAAGTACATAAATAACAACAACGCATGAAATAAAAAAAAAAATTCATAGTAAAAATGGTAGAAATTTAATTTAATTTTATGGATGAAATGTTATTAAAGGCATTTAATTGTTTTAAAACAATCTGCCATTACTTTTATCTTTTCGAGGACAACAGAAATTTAAAAACTGTTGAAAGGCGGAGGGACGAAAGGATTAAATTTCTCCAAGATACATATACGAAAATATATGATGCAAGATGTCATAGCGAAATTGTCTTTTCATCTGCCAGTTGTTACACCTATTACTTATCTTGCATACTTAATTTTTAAAGGAATTTCTTGATTCTCTATCATCTGTGTTTCCAGTCTAACGAATTATAGCAATTGTAATAATAAATACTCCGATAGTTATCGGTGTTACGAAATAATAAGTATTACTGTAACTCTGTGCATTTTTCCCTTAGGTATCCAATTATCAGCAAAATTCAATGACATCAACAAAATAGCTGTACGTGAATTAGAATCTGATTTACAAATTTTGGAGGATCAATATAACAGGGTAAGTTTTAAACTTTGATTATTCTGAAATGGTGTGAGAGCTCTGCTGTGATTAAAAAGTTTATACTGTTAAAGGTATTTCTGATATCGTAAATGTATAATATTGAGCATTATGTTGTAGAGACATTAGGTATTTTGCAAGCAGGAAAGATGAAAATTTAACAAAACCTTCGCCGGGAATCGAACCGCGAACCTCTGGAATACCGTCCTAGTGCGCAGATCACCAGACCACGAAGTCACGCCAAGAAGGTGAGAGAAATACCTTATATACTCCCCCTTTTAAAAAGCGGCTGGGGTTTCTAGGGCGCCCAATCTCCAAATCCTGGGTGGGGAGAAATCATCGACCACCCTTTCATTTCGGGCGCCACTGTAGAGACATTAGGTATTTTTTGGAAGCAGGCAAAATGAAAAATTAGCAAACGCCTTCGCCAGGAGTCGAACCACGGACCTCTGGAATACCGGCCCAAAGTGCAGAACCACTACACCAAGAAGGCACGCTAGGAAGGTGGGAGAAATATCTTATATACTCCCCCTTTTAAAGTCTGACTGTAGTTTTTAGGGGACCTAGTCGCCAGATCCTGGGTGAGGCAAATCATCGTCCAACACCCTTTTAGTTCGGGCGTCACTGTAAAGACATTAGGATTTTTTAGAAGCAAGAGAGATGAAAAATTAGCAACCGCCTTCGCCGGGAATCTAACCACGGACCTCTGAAATACCAGCTTCGTGTGCTGACCACTACACCACGAAGGCACGCCAAGAAGGTTGGAGAAATACTTTTGTTTATAAATCTTATGATGTAATTATAAAAAGTCCATATTTACGAGTTCTGTTCTTGTCGACAGCAATAAAATAAGCTTCACCAGTAGCCAGAAGTTTAAAACTGTTTAATACCGATAGTTCGACGCGGATTCGAAACCAAATGAATGGGATAGCTGTAGAGTTGGTTTTTGTGATTTCTCTATCGGTAACGTGGATTTAAGCCAGTTGCCTTTTGAAAGTCCTCCTAGAAGACATCCCTTCCCTGTACCTCTTATATATGTCAATAACCTAGCCTAACTACCTATAGAAGATAATGACTTAACTAAATATTTCTATAACCGTAATAACGTTCGTACTTGAAATACGTAATAACGTATTTCAAGGAGCTATCAATGCCTTTCGAAATACGTAATAAATGTTAGAAAATTGCTTTTTCAATATATTTAATCTTATTTTCGAATGGCTACGCGCTCATAGCATATATATTTTGTGTTTCTCATTCCCAACTAGCTTTTTCACTAAATTATAGGACTATAATTCTAATATTTATAATAATTAAATAAGTTAAAAGTATGAAAAGTCCACCAGTTCTTTTTTCCAAAATAAGGAGCTGTAAACAATAAAATTATGCTTTTGTTTTCTGGTTTTTATATACCATGCGTTAAAGAAAAAAATTTCAAACAATGTGTTTTTATAATCTCCAATGTTGTATCAGTGATATCAAAAATTAGAGTGATGCATCACAAAAATTATTAATAAAAATAACTACCTCCAAAATTTAACATTTGTGATGTTCCTTAAATTAAAGTTCCAAGTTTTTATTTTCAAGATTTTGTAAATGTAAGGGTAACTAACATTAACTTTTAAAACGCAAATGAACTTTAAAATAATGATATTAACATAATTAATAGAATAAAATTTATTTAAACTTTCAGCTTCAAATTTATAAAAAAAAATAATTTAAGCCATTTCTTACAAATATAAAAAAGACAGATTAAACTTGCAAATAAAATTTACACGATTTTTTATTTTTATTTTATTATTACACGATATTAAAATTTATTTAGCAAATAAAATTTACACGGATTTATTTATTTTTCAGTAGAGAACTGAAACTGTTATGATGGTTTAGCTTCTTTTTACTTATGGTACTCCTACAAACAAAGAGTTGAAAATAAAAACCGGTGACGTTACATTTCACTAATGTCAATCTAATGCTTCTCTCTTTGAACAGCTGCAGACAATACTAGTTGACATTACGTTGTTGGGCTCCATATGTCACAGACAGATAATTTTATAGGGGAAAATTAGCTTTTGGCTTTTCCCTGTTTCCCCCTTAATGAATGTTAACACTTGAACCTTGCGGACCTAGTTTCTCAATGAACTGTCATACAGATCAAATCTTCAAAGAAGGACCTCTTCACTCGTACCTGTGACTTTAATTGTTAATTATTTATTAAATTTTTTTCTTTACATGATAAAACTTTCTAAATTCTGAGAAAACTTTATTTTTTACTGGTTATTTATTTATTTATTTATTTAGTAGCCCAAATGGGCTTTAGCCCAGAAGAGCTATTAGTCATTTTGTGTCTAATCTCAAAAAGCGTTGAATCACTTTTCAAATTATTGCCACCAAATATTATTATCCTCTATTGCATTTAAAGAAATTAAATAATGAATAATCTGCATGAATATATGTATGTTTCTCGCACTGTGAAAACACAACGATTCCTAGAGCCATCATATTTTGAATAAAGTGATCCTCCACCCGAATATGAGCACCTGGAAACTTGAATTTTGAATTTCGAATTTGTTTATTATATGTTTCTTATTTTGTAAACTTTTAACGAATTTTTGATTAAAATATTCATTGATTTAAACCGAGCAGTGGCAACACTCTATGGAATAAAACACTTTTGTCTCCAGCACGGGAGACTGTCTATCGGAAATTCTAAAGGTATTCTTTTTTAAATATTTTTAGCCCAAATCCTCTCGAAACATGTACGTATGTGTAAATAAAAAAAGCCCTTTTGGGCGTAATATAAAGTCTGAAAGCTTTCAGATTTTTTTCATTTATTTATTTATTTAAATCATTATTCGTTTTGTTAACTCTAATTTTAGCTTCTCATTTTCCACAAAGTATACCACGAGGCGTACTCAAGTCACAATTAAGTTGAGTTGCATTCTGAATTCTGTACGTATATATTTTGGAAAATGTTGACTTTCTCCGAAATCTTGCTTAGCCGATGTAAATGTCTATCTGACAAATTTCCCGAGCTGACAAGTGTGAATAATGTATAGACTGTAAAGAGATTAAAGTGGATGTGACTCGCAATAGGTAGTACCATTGCGATAAAATGATCTCGTCTTTTAGAAGACTTCATCATTTAGATTTCATTTTCTTATTTCAAGATATCATTTTGAATATATCTTTTTCGTAAAGCATCTAATTGATAACTTTAGTTAGAAAACAAATACTATATTTTTCCGCATATAAAACAATAGGTAAAATTTTGCTGAAAAACAGCAGCCAAAATTTAAAATCCGTGTATAAGCCAGATTTAAATTTGTCCTATGTATCGCTAAGAGTTCAAATAATTGGCCACCTGTCTAAAATCCACCTATCAAAGAAGTTGAAGAAAAATGCCAAGTCTTCACCAATTCCAAAAGTAGGATAGAAACGATCGTTGGATCTTTCAAAAGATATTATATTTGCGGTGCTATCAGAAGCCACACTTTGTGCTTACTAAGCAGCCAATCATTTTTAGCGAGGTAAGTAACAGTAAGTTCAAATGTAAAATTAAAATTCAAATAAAATAGTAGCCAAAGGTTGTACGGATCAATTAACGCGAAGTTGGCTCAAAAGTTAACCGGGATGGATATCAACTTTCTTTCTTTCCGCCATCGACGGAACAGCTGGCCCACTGGGTTAGGTGCTTTTCAGCCTGTTGGATCCCGTCGATGGAGCCAAAAATAAATAAAAATATAAATAAAAATAGCTTCGTATTGTGTCCTTCAGGAATTGATTAGATTTAGATACTAGCACTAGTATTAGATTAGATAAGATAGATACTAGTATTAGTATTATTATATTAGATACTTAGTACTGTGGTCTTCGGGAACTGGCCATGCTAAATGAGAAACATTTTTCACTATTATGGTACATGTTAGGCATATAGATACATTAAGGATTTGATATAGACTTAGGTACAGGTGTAAAGATGAACAAATACGTTACAAATTGTGAAACACATTAAATGAGTTCTGGATTAATCATAATATTAACATAATTAAAAACAAAACAAAAACATAAAACAAGACATTAAGTATATTAATATATGTACAGAGCGAGTTGCTGACGGCACGGTGTCCAAGGAAAAAAGTCACTCCAGGCTGTCAGCAATGCTTTTAGCATGAAAATGCAGTCTCTAATGCGGATGAGAGTATATTTATTCTTAATTTTGTTTTTGCGCCATACCGGCATATTGATTGCCGCAGGATTTTTAAGTGTGAATTCGCTGTGTGCGGGCAATCATACAAATAGTGATCTGGGTCACCAGTACTGCCACAAATACATTGTCGCTGTCTCTTAGGCGAAATCTGTGAAGATAGGACATATATAGGATATGCCCTGTCAGATATTGTGTGAGCTGCGAAGAACTGCTGTTTAAATTCTGATTTACTTTTGGATAAAAATTATACAGTCTTCTGCCTGTGGTGCTCGACTCCCAATAGTTTTGCCACTGTTTCATTAATTCGCATTTTAGAGTGGTTTTCAGATATGAGTGCGGAAGGGGCACACTATTGCTACTCACATGAGGTTCATTGGCTGCGCTTTTCACAATCACGTCTCCTGCTTTATTTCCTTTAATCCCCGTATGGGCTGGAACCCATTGACGCTTGGGCCTCAGACTTGCAGGAATTGAAATTAATTATTTTTGTATATCTCTGACTATGGAATGTCTACTATTGCCTCTCTGGATGGCCTACAAGCTTGACACTGAGTCTGTGTAAATTACTGTATACCTTTCATTGGTTACAATAAAGTTCAGAGCTTCTTTAAGGGCTTAAATTCTGCCTGACACACTGATTTGCTGGGATGAAGCATCTAAGCCCATGAATGGATTATGAGGTCGCCCTCCATTACATACCAGGCGCTGCCAGTCCCTAGCTCTCCTTTGGAGCCATCAGTATAGACAGCTGAGTATTGGAGCCAACAGTATAGACAGTTGAGTATAGATA